ATGTTGTGGGGTTGTTAACCAATGTCATAAAACAATATGTGTACTACTGTTTCATGAGAAACTATTTGTTCTGTAAGCCTTCACCTGAAGTACAATTAAAAAAAAAAAAAAAAAGAAGAGAGAAAAAAACAAATGATGGCGCATCCAAACGATGGATTCTTCTGTTGCCACAAAGAATAATAAGGTGGATCTATAAATGCTGATGTGGAATAATCTATAAAACACATTTAAAAAAAAAAAAAGCAAAGTGCAGACACGGTGTGTTTCTGTGGGACAGGTGTCCTCAACCTCGGCACTACTGACATTTTGGGCCAGATGATTCTTTGTTGGTGGGAAGGGAGCATGCCCAGCACCCCAGCCAGGGAGAGCCAGCCCTCCGTCAGACCACAGCCTGGGGACTTTCCACTTGGTGGTGGTTGGGGGGGGTGCCTTGTCCTGTGCACTGTAGGATGTCTAATAGCATCCTTGGTCTCTACCCACTAGATGTCAATAGCACGCTCACCCCAGTTGGGACAATCAAAAATGTCTCCAAACATTGACAAATGTCCCTGGAGTGGGGGGTGGGGTGGGGGTGGGGAGGTACAAAAGCATCCTAGGTTGAGAACCACTGATGTAGTATGATCCCATTTGAAAACAAAAAAAGTGGGAGAAAGTATAGATGCTTGCACACAAATGGACTGTGGCCACAGGGATACACAAGGCCTGGTAACAATGGTTGCTGTCATGGATTGAATTATGTCCCCCAAAAAATGTGTATATCAGTTTGACTGGGCCATGATTCCCAGTATTGTGTGATTTTCCTATATGTTGTAAATCCTGCCTCTATGATGTTAATGAGGGAGGATGGGCAGTAGTTGTGTTTGTGAGGTAGGACTCAGTCTACAAGATTGGATTGTGTCTTGAGACAATCTCTTGAGATTTAAAAGAGAGAAGCGAGCAGAGAGACGAGGGACCTCATACCATCAAGAAAGCAGTGCCAGGAGCAGAGCACATCCTCTGGACCCAGGGTCCCTGCGTGGAGAGGCTCCTAGTCCTGGGGAAGATTGATGAGAAGCCCACCAGAGAGAGAAAGCCTTCCCCTGGAGCTGACGCCCTGAATTTGGACTTGTAGCCTACTGGACTGTGAGAGAATAAACTTCTCTTTGTTAAAGCCACCTGCTTGTGCTATTTCTGTTACAGCAGCACTAGATGACTAAGACAGTTGCCTCTATGAAGGGGGAACCGTGGGTCAGGACAGAAGGGTGGGGTGAGTCTTAATATTTGCTGGGTAAAATTACGTACTGTTGGAAATTTTACCATGCGTATGTATACATTTTTTAAAATTACTAAAGAAACAGTGTGCTTCTGTTAAGGGTGATGGAATCATTTAGAAGAGGATAGTGGTGAGGGCTGAACAAGAGGAACGTGATTAATGACGTTGAACTGTACATGTAAAAAATGATGAAATGGCAAATGTTTTATTACATATATATTTACCACAATTTAAAAAATTACCTTTACCTAAAGAAAAAACCCACCATGACACATGAATTCTAACCAAAATCCTTAACAAAGCCTCGGCCTTCAGGTCTCAGGTTACTGGTGTAGCTTCCCCCAGGCTAGGTTAGGGTCCCCCCACAGCCCCACTGCTGTACAAAGATTCCTATTAGCACCAGATACTTTGTCATAAAGCAAACCCACTTGTAATAACTGATCGTCTCTGTTCAGAGGACGGGACTTTGGGTCCCTATAGACATTCATACAATAACAGAATGGATAAACAGATAGATGACCTTTGAGGAAAGATACATGTATTTTTTAAAAGCAGGTAAATACAGGACCACCCAACGGAGCCTGGATCACCATATCTCTTATTTGTCCTGACCACCATTAGCAACGTCACACATACTCTCAGTCCAGCACCATGGGTCCCAGGTTTCAGCACAGCCCCCACTTCTGAAAGTCTATCTCTTGTCTCCGTAAGGACATTCACCTGTGGGAGACAGCCTGCTCTAATTTGGAGTTTGGGAAAACCTTGCTGTAACCACATGTACTCAGGGCCAGCCCTTGCTCCCTACCCTGCTTGTTCCCTTTCTAGAAAAGATGCAATTCCCCAAGGAAGAGGCTGATGTTGACATGGGGGAGTGGGAGGTAGGGAGGGGGTTCCAGGACCACACCTTGGTCACACAATGGAAGTAGCTTCAGGGACAGCCAGAAAATCAGTTCTCTGGGGAAAGCAGTGAGGTGGGGGCTCCCAATGTTAGTGGAGCAGATGTGTACCTTGGTACCCTCCTCCAAGTGAAGGGTCCCTAAGCTGTGCCAGGAAGCACGGTGGTGGGGTGGAGGGCTGGCTCTCCCTGACTGGGGTGCTGGGTGTGCTCCCCGGATGAGGACTGGGCGAGAAGAGGCCCAAGAGGGAGGAGGGTCACAACGCCAACCCTAAGGCAACTGGAATATTCCTGCCTCTTCCTAATTCTCCTGGGCCTTTCCCATGCGCTCATTAAACAAATGTTTTCTGAGCACCTACTGTGTGCCAGCCGTGGGTCTGGGCATTGGGGATACAGCAGTGAATGAGCAGACACTGCCCGTGCTCGCGTGGGGCTCACCCTCCAGCTGGGAGGGCCAACTGGCATGACATTGGGAGCTGACGTTTACTGAGTGCTTGCTATGTGCCAGGTGTCATGCTAAGCACTTGATTTGCATTTTCTTATCAAATCTTCACAAAAACTCTAGGAGGTAGCAACTATTCTATTTTATAGATGAGGAAACTGAGGCACAGAGAGGTGAAGGAACTTGCCCAAGGTCCATCAGCCAGTAGATAGTAGGGCTGGGATCTGACCCAGGCAGACAGCCTCCAAAGCACATGCTCTTAACCCCTGAGCCTAAATCCACAGCACCGTCTGCTCCAAGGGTCTTCTCTGGCCTCTCAGCTCCGAAAGTCCCCTAGGTGTGTGTGGAATCCTTGTTAGGAGAATTATAGTTACAGGAACAACAGAAAGCAGAATTGAAAGCTGTGTCTCTGCCAT